AAACCGGCACCTTACCGTTGTTCAAGCGATTCATCAGCTCGAAGAAGTTCGAGGTGTGCAAATTTCTGAACGTACCGCTCGGAGAAGATTAAATGAGTATGGATTAATGGCTTTTCGTCCAGTAAGAGGACCAGAACTCACAGAGTAACACGGCTGGCTTTTGCTCGAGAACACAGCCATTGGACTATGGACGAATGGAGTGCTGTACTTTTTACAGATGAGTCAAGATTCGCTCTTCGATCTCCAGATGGGCGTGAAAGGGTGTGGAGAAGAAGAAACGAAAGATATGCAGCCTGTAATTTTTCCAGAGCCAACCTTTCCAACGTGGTTCCTTAATGGTGTGGCTGGGTTCAATGGAGCGCCGCACAGAATTGGTTGTTGTTCGTGGAGGGTCTTTGATGGCCATTCGCTATGTAGATGAGATTTTAGAACCTCATGTGTTGCCTATCCTCAACGAAATCGGCGATCATTCTATTCTAATGCACAATAATGCACGCCCACATAGTGCAGACGTTCCTTCAACAGAACAATATTGAGGTTTTAGCCTGGCCATCACGTTCTCCAGATTTGAACCCCATTGAGCATTTATGAGATAACCTCGGAAGACGAATAAGAGCACGTGCATCACTTCTTGATACACTGCAGGACCTTGAAAGGGCTCTTTGGGAGGAATGGGCTATCCTCCAGCAAAGGGACATTTCCCCACTGGTGGAAAGCATGCCGAGGCGTCTTCAAGAAGTAGTGAAGGCAAGAGGAGGAAACGCGCTACTAAACGATGATGTAATCAATTTATTTTAGAATAATAATGGTTCGTTTTTCAATTTTTTTTCTCTAATCTTTTTTACCCAATCACATTTTGATTATTAAAGGTAAAAAAGATTATAAAATTCCATAAATACTAAGTATTATCTACAAATACCATGTATTATATACAAATACAACTTTTTTTTACAAGTGACAGAAATATTTTTAGATGAAAACATGGAAAAATCAAGTGGGTGGAATTTTTTGCCTGTCAGTGTATATACTTAGTAAAGATATATTAATGACAGAAGATGAGCAACGGGATTACAATATTGCATTATCCCGCCATAAGAGATATAAAATAAGAATAAAAAGATACATACAATTAGGAAGGGGCATTAAATTAATTTTATGAGAAAACAATTGCGACAAAAAAAAAGAAAAAAAAGATAATTAAAAGAAAATAAATTATTGATATATGTAATACAATATGCAATGATATTGTATGGAGATTAAGATAGGAAAGGTATATATATATATATATATATATATATATATATATATATATATATATATTGTAATGTAAATATTACATAGCAATTTTGAATAGTGGCGCTAAGGTAGTGACGTCACAAACTACTGTCAAAAATGGACAAAGAATGACAGATGGTGGGGAAAAAGAGGCAGAAGGTAACCAGCCAGCTAGTAAAGAGGATCGAGAAAAGAAAATGTGAGTTAACAAGTAGTGAGTGTAAACAAAGGAAGATTAGAAGATCGAAAGAAGTTGAACACAACAATACAGAGGAAGATTCACTGCAGAACAGAGAGTGAAATATAAATAGACAGTTCGGAAGCGCGCCAAGATTAGACCCTGACAAATGAATGGAAATTCATAAAAATTTTATGTACTATTAATGTATGATTTTATATTATATAATTGAGGATGTGTATTTGTTGCCTCAACCCAATAAATATTATTTGATTCAGAAACTGTTTTGTTTACTTTTCAAAGGAAACGTAAACTTACAATATATATACAAATTGAGGAATGTAAAAAATGAAATATATTTAAAATATATATAATCTTGTAGATAGAAAAAAAATTGATAAAAACAACACAATCCCTTATTTTTTTATACAACACCGTGCTATGCCAAAAGTGATACTGAATCTTTCCAATTCATAAATAATAAACAAAAACTAAAATAAAATAATGGTGCAATGAAAAGGAAAAAATAAATAAAAAATTATCCTTGTTACATAATACATAATTAACCAGCGTCTGATAGGATTGTGAAGAGGAATTAGAATAGGAGGGTTTTGAATGTGGATAAGGATGGTGCATGGTGGATTTAAAGTGGGATGGAATTCCAAAAGGTGGTGGAGCGAACAATAAAGGAATGTTGAAATGAAGCAGATCTATGGAAGGGGGTGTAAAGATCAGAAGGACGAGATCTTGTGGAGCAGGAGTGGATAGATGATTTAAATTGGAGGAGGTTGTATACATAGGACGGGCGATGATTGTTGATTATTTGGTAAAGGAATGTGTCAAGGAAGTATTGTCTTATCAAGAAGGGGAACAGCCACTCTAACTGGGCATAGTAGTGGGAAACACGGGAACGTCTCAGGATCCCTTCGACAAATCTTTCTAAGCTATTAATAATTCTTTTTAGTCTGTCCCCGAGTTCCACCGACAGGCCACTGAACACCACAAAGCCTTATTCAAGGTGGGGGAAAATGAGAGAGGATAGTAGGAGTTTGCGTATTGGTATAGGTAGGAAATGGAGAAAGTGGTGGAATAGTTTAAGGATATAAATTGACCGTCGAGAGATGTGGGCAATATGGTGATTCCAGGAGAGGGTTTGGTCAATGAAAATGCCTAGGTTTTTAACTGAGGAGCTGCAGGTGATGGGATGGTTATTTAGGTACAGAATAGGAATGTTCGTATTGGATTTGAGGAGGGGTTTGGAACCAATGATAATGGCCTGAGTTTTATCAGCATTTAATCTTAATCCATTTATATATGACCAAGCGCTGATGCAATTTAGATCTTCTTGGATTTTGGCAAACGCATCATACAACTCAGAGGGTGGGAAGGAAAGGTAAATTTGGAAATCATCGAACTCAAAAATAGTCAATTCATATGCATTTCCATCTGTTGAATTCAAAAATCACCATAAAAATGACAGATTAGCTCTTGCTTTGGAGATAAAGTGACATTTCATTTTTTAGAGTCAATATTTTCAATTTGGGGGATTTTTTTTGGGGGGGGAGTTGGTACACCAGTCAAATAACAAAACACAAATGCTGTTCAGCTGGTTGTAAGTCATAAACATAGTTACTGTTTCTTTGACCGTGAGTTTCTTATAGTTTCTGCTGTAATTAATGCAGAATTTCCGGTTTGAGATTGCTTTTTTTTAGTGTAAAATTCATAAAAATTTCACGAAAATGTGTAAATATGATTAATATTTTTTTTTATATACTTGTGGTGAAATTACATTTTCCTCAAAGAAACAAAATCTAACACCTCTTGTAAAGACTGCCTATCAGCATTATTTCGGTATGAAAGTAGGGGACCAGGATAAGTCTTGGGCAATACATATATGTTGCAATGTATGTTCAGTTACGCTGCTAGAATAAATGAGAAAGAAGAAAGGATCTATGGCTTTCGCTGTGCTATATGATATTTCTGTATTTGCGTCATGCCACAAATTCAAGTACTTGTGAAGGATCCTGCATTTGACCAAGTTTTGGAAGGGAAAGAAAAGGAAGCTTGGGAAGCCTTCAAGGGAGTTTTTTGTGGATTTTTAGACAATAACAGAGATGACAAATACACTCATTTGGTGACAGTGCTCCTGCAAAAGGACCATAATCTTGGATGCAACATGTTCCTTCAAATCCATTTTATCCACTCCCACATAGACTTTTTCCCTCTTAGTTGTGGAGCTGTTATTGATGAACATGGAGAAAGATTCCATCAGGACATTTCTGTTATTGGACAAAGATATCAGGGCCATTGGAATGAAGCAGTTCTGGATGAACCAGGATAACTGTTGGTCTTTGTGTAGGAGTGCTCTGGAAATCCCTTACAAGAAGCAATCTAAAAAGACGAAAATCTCACGAAGCCACATAGTCTCTTAAGACACGAGCTATTTAGAACTCTTAGAATGTAACTACAATTTTGAAAAATCAAATGCACTTTCAATGTTGTTAGCATATATAATTAAAATGCATCTTTTTCTCTTAACTTGTTAATATGAAAACTTCCACCTTGTGTATATCACAGAAACTAGAGCTTAGAAAAATTTTTCATTGTCATATTCGTTTGTCTCAACCCAAAATTACTAAGGATTGACTTATGAAGTGCTGGAAACATTAAAAAAATTGTTATCTGTTGCCCAGTGCTGTGCCCATTGCTTATTGCGTTCAATTGTATAGAAAAAATATATTTAGCTAAAATTAAAGTAATCAAAAAGGGAAAAAACCTTCCGATTCAAATAAAATTAGGAAATATATTAAAACTAATTAAAAGTAAATTGCAACATATCAGTTGTTGACCGTTTGATGTCAATCCCTAGGAGCTCTTAAACCCATGTCTTCACTCTTCTAGGTACAAACACAGACTCTTGCTTAGATTGATTTTGTGCTACGGGGTGAAGTGAAAATTGGTTGTCATAATTTTGGCAAGATCTGGCTTCTTTTGGAACTTGATCTACAATCTATATGATCTTAGTTCCAGCTACTTTCTGTTTAAATTCCAGACATACACTGCTAAGGCATTAAGAATCACAAGAAATATTTGTTATTATAACTGATAATTTGTTATATTTGCTGTTAGAAATGGTATCTTTTTTCTCTCTTTCTCTTCCTACCTGTATTTTTATTTTTTAATCGACTACTATTTTGTAAATACTTAATTTATGTATGTAGGGCATTTACTCTGTACTTATAATTTGTTGTAAAGGGACAACAGTCCCAGAATAATAAAGAATATTTTCATTTATTTATTGTATTTATAGTGTGAATGTCATCCTACCTCACTATAACCAATGTCCAAGAGACAGATTGTTGTAATACTCAATAAATAAATTTAAAAAAAAAAATAATAATTTATTGTATTATTTTTAATTCTAAATTTAATATCTTATATTTTTACTTTAATATCTTATTATTTTTAATTCTAAATTTAATATCTTATATTTTTACTCATTAATTCAAAATAACATTTAAAAAAGTATTTTCTATTTTGCTTTTAGATATTAGGTGGTATGGGATATGTCAATGACATGCCAGCTGAACGACACTACCGAGATGCGAGAATTACTGAAATCTATGAAGGTACATCTGAAATTCAAAGGCTTGTGATCTCTGCTAATGTTTTGAAGGAATATGGATTTTAGTTGGACACTGGAAATCATTATTATGACGTTGATAGATTACACTTATTTTTTTAATTTTATAACATCTGTAAAATATTACATAATTTGCTTCCATTTTAAATTTTACTCTGACTGTATTTTAATTTTAGGTTAGTTCATTTTTAAGTATTATTAGAAGACTGAAAAAGTATGTTTCAAAATAATTAGTTTACATTATATCGTAATTATACCGTATCAACTCAGTTTTTAATTCATTAAATTATTTTATAATGAATAATTACTGTATAATATTAATTGTTATTATTAATTAAAGGTTGTTTTTAATATTTATTAAAACAAATTGTCAATTTATTTATTTTTAGTATTTAAATCAGTAATTTAAGGCTGCAGTAAAAATTTATAAAGATATATTTTAATAAATTGTTGGGAAATGTGTTTATGGAAAGCATGATATACCTTTCATAATTATGTTTCATGTGTTATATGCAAGTATGGAGTTAGGTTTAGATAAAATTTAGTACTGCTTCCTACATTAGCTGGATGGAAAACTTGTTTGATTTAATTTGTAATACAACTGTATTTGTTGTAATTTCTTCTACCAGAAGGATTGACATTGCAGACACTACATTGCCTAACCTCAGTGTTTTGTACAAATTTAAGTATATCCGGTAAAATGGAAATTAATATTTATTCTGACACTCATTTCCCAAAGAATAATTAAAAATATTCCGATCAAGCAGCATTTATCTGACTGTATGATAGAAACTCATTTAAATTAAGTATTTACTGAAGGGCATTTAATAAATAATTATATTAATTAAACAAAGGTTATAAAGAAATATATTTAATAATAATAACGAGTTCTGCGCATGCGCTTGATTTGAATACCCACATTTCACGTCGTGTCCCACAGTTTTACTATTTTTTAGTAGAATAAGTGCTCAGTTTTACTTTTTTTAAAAAAAACTAGTTAAGCAGACATCAAAACAACAACAATGGACTAACACCACAGTGAGTAGTGTTGTTATTTACTGTGTACTATTACAGACAGTGAATTTAGTGATTTAGCGTCTATAGGCTTAATCTCTATAGCCATAACAGCTGACGGCTCCCCTCTCCAGTTGTGGCCCAGCCACGTAACTGGCTGGTTCTCAGCCGGCGGTTCATCCATTGTAATAACACGCAGACGTAGTTTTATTTATTTATTTTTTTTTCCCTTTCTTTTTTTTTTTATATGCGATATTACCACCAAGTAATGTCAACTAAGAGGTCCCATTCAGTTGGCTCTACCCCACGTAATTCACCGCCTAAACAGAAAACACGTCGTAGTAAGCGATTAACACCCCCCGGAACTCCTCCAGCGAACACTCAAGTATCTGTGTCTCAACCACTGCCAAGTACGTCTTCACAAGAAATGGAATCTCCATTTTTTACACCTAATCCATACCAGGTGCTTGAAAATGACAGGGAAGAAATGGAAGATGCACCTATACCTCGAGAACCACGCCCACCTCCTATCTTTGTCAAAAATTTGAGAAATTTCCAGTTGTTGTGTACTCAACTTAATAAAATCTGCCCAGGTAGCTATACATGCCTAAACAGAATAAATGATACAAAAATAATACCGGCCACACCTGAAGCGTACCGAAAAATCGTAAAATATTTAACAGACACAAATGCGGACTTTCACACATACCAGTTGAAACAGGAAAGAGCACTACGAGTTGTAATAAGAAATTTACACTCCTCAACCCCAATAGAAGTGATTAAAGAAGAGTTAACGGCGTTAGGGTTCAAAATACGTCAGATAACCAATGTTTTAAAAGAAAATAAAGAACAACCAGGTGTAAAGAATAAAATCCCATTGCCCTTATTTTTCGTCGATCTAGAGCCATCGCCTGGGATCGAAAAAATATACGATGTGAATAGAATTTTCTACACCAGCGTAAAGGTCGAAAAACCGTACCCAAAAAGAGAGTTCATCCAGTGCCATAATTGCCAAGCATATGGCCACACCAAGTCTTATTGCCACCACTTACCACGCTGCGTGAAATGTGGTAAAACACACAAGTCTGGCGAGTGTAATAAACCAATTACAGAACCAGCAGTCTGTGCCCTATGCCTGGAAGGCCATCCAGCCAACTACAAAGGCTGCCAAATTTATAAAAATCTTAAAGCGAGATATATGAAACCCAGGGACCCTGATGATACACCTAAACCAAGAAGAGGACCCGCTAAAATTGTGAACTCTAAGGTTTCTTTTGCCAAGCTACTTGGGGGTAGAGACCCGACTAATGTATGTGAGGCCCTGCCGCAAGAACAAACTCAACCCCAATCTCAATATCCTATCCCACCTAATGTACCTAATCAACAACAACCTCACCAACATCAAATCCAATATGTTCCTCCACCGCCTAATGCTACAGATCTAACCAGCTTATTGACATCCTTTCTTTCAGAATTTAAATCCCTTGTTACCCCACTGATATCACTTCTCACTAACCTAGTATCTCACCTTATCCCTCCTTTAAAAAATCCTTAAATGACTTCCATCAAACCCATATCCATTCTCCTTTGGAATGCGAATGGTGTTAGAAATCACATACACGAACTAACAGCCTTACTACAAGACAAGAACGTAGACGTAGCCCTAATAACGGAAACTCGACTGACTAAAAAACAGCTCCTAAAAATACCACAATACATAACTTACCGTACCGACCATCCTGACGGTAGAGCACATGCCGGTACTGCAGTCATTGTGCACCAATCCCTCTCCCATCACCTACTCCCACTGCCTACACACGATTTCCTACAATCCACCGCAGTCGTAATCAAAACCTTCTCCTTTCCTATTACCGTTGCATCAGCGTATTGCCCTCCAAACCAATCCATCTCCAATATCCAATTTAGTTCCTTCCTCATTTCCTTAGGACATCATTTCATCTTGGGTGCAGACTTAAACGCCAAGCATCAACAATGGGGTTCAAGAACCACGAATTCTCGTGGTCGAACATTGCTGTCTGTACTCAATTCCCAAAATTTTACCCTTCTTCCACCCAACTCACCTACCTACTGGCCCACTGATCCTAACCGTAATCCCGATATCCTCGATTTCTTTATCCATAATGGTTTAGGTGCTCTCAACCATTCCGTTGCCCGTCTTGACGAGCTTTCCTCAGACCACAGCCCATTAATACTCCAAGTATCACTAGCTCCTATTCCTAAACCCTCTCCTCCGTCCTTCATCAGAGGCCCAGTTAACTGGAAACTCTTTCATCAAATCCTCTCCGATAAAATTGACCTCAGAGTAACCCTGAAAACCTCTGAAGACCTGGACAATGCAGTACATTCCTTCACTACCAAAATTCAAGAAGCAGTCTGGACTGCTTCCTCCCCTGATCACTCCTCAAAAATCCTTAAGAAACATAATTTACCTCAACACCTCCTTGACCTAATCCACATAAAACGCCGTGCCAGATTATTATGGCAACGTACCAGACATCCAGCCGACCGCCACTCCTACAATTATCACTGTAAAAAATTAAAAAAAGAATTAGCCACCTTCAGATCCCAATCATTCAATTCCTACCTCACCACACTCTCTGCTCATGATAATTCCCTTTGGAATATCACCAGAAAAATCCTCAAATCCCATCATATTTCCCACCCTCTTCGACGAGATGATGGCTCCTGGGCAGCATCTGATGAAGATAAAGCCGAGGAATTTGCCAAACACCTTTCCTATACTTTCGCTCCTCATCCAGAATCCCATCCCAGCCACACAGTAAAAGTAGAAGAATCCCTCTCAATACCTATCCCACTCTCCTTACCACCTAAAGCTGTTAATCCCTCTGAGGTCAAATACCTTTTACGGAAAATCACACCTCGCAAATCTCCTGGATATGACCTTCTAACCCCACAGATCCTTCGACAACTTCCATCTAAAGCCATCATATTTCTTACATATATATACAATTGCATCCTACGAACTACCCACTTCCCTCTTTTATGGAAACATTCCACCATCGTCCTCTTCTTGAAACCAGGCAAACCTTCCAACAATACAGCATCCTATAGACCAATTAGCCTACTCCCAATCCTCTCAAAAATTTTTGAAAACATCCTACTGAAACGAATCCTACCTATAATTGAATCCTATAACCTTCCTACTCATCAATTCGGATTTCGTTCCCAACATTCCACTGTCCAGCAAGGACTCCGAGTTGTTGACCATATATCCTCAACCCTAGAAAGCAAGCAGTATTGCTCGGGTGCATTTCTGGACATAGCGCAAGCTTTTGACCGGGTATGGCACGCCGGATTACTCTTCAAGCTTAAAATCCATCTACCACAGTCCTTATACCTAGTACTCCGATCCTATCTTTCCGACCGCTCCTTCCGAGTTCGCTGTGGCACCGAATTCTCCGACTGTTACTCAATTGAGGCTGGCGTTCCTCAAGGCAGCGTCTTGGGCCCCATCCTTTACATTCTCTTTACCGCTGATATTCCTGTCCATCCCGATACCCTCCTGGCAACTTTCGCTGATGACACTGCTATCCTTTCTTCCAACTCAGATCCTGAAACAGCGTCCGCAAACTTACAAAGGCACCTCTTCCTGATTGAACACTGGTGTAAGAAATGGCGCATTAAGGTAAACGAATCTAAATGTAAACACATTACCTTCACCCTTCGGCGTAATACCTGCCCACCAGTTTATTTTAACTCCATCCAGCTTCCTTTCTCAGATACAGTCCGGTATCTTGGCTTTCTCTTAGACAGACGACTAACATGGAATCCACATACTCGACTTAAAAGACAGGAACTTAACAGACGATATAGCCAGCTATATAGACTACTGAATAGAAAATCTAAACTTTCTGGTGAAAACAAATTACTGATCTACAAGACAATACTGAAACCCATCTGGACTTACGGACTAGAACTATGGGGAACAGCCAAATTTTCTAACATCAAACGCATTCAATCCTTTCAGTCTAAAGTCCTCCGTACAATAGTCAATGCTCCCTTCTATGTAACCAATAAAACCCTACACCATGACCTTAATATCCCATTTATTCTTGATCTTATCCCAGCCAAATTTTCCAAATTTCACCAGAACCTTTCTCATCACCCAAATCCCGTTGTACAATCCCTATCAAGCACCACCCATCCCTACAATCCCCTTCGTAGGTTAAAGCGGCAGTGGCCACGAGACCTTTTGTAAATATGGATATTTTGGATTTCTAGCAATGGCCAGATTCTCCACTCAAGT